GGGGGGGGGGGGGGGGGGGGGGGGGCGCACGCATGTTTTGCATGCCCTATCTAGATGCTGGACCATTGACCACGCATCCTGCAGAGAACGGAGGGTTGTTCCCACAGGATCGATCACCGATGGCCAGTTGTTCCTTCCTACTTTGCCAAAGGTCGCTCAAGTGTTTTTCTATCGCTGCCCGCCTTTTCAGCCCCATTCTTGTACGACAGGCCAGGTAGGGAAGGGATTTCAATCAAGCATTGAGCACGTATGTTGACGCTTTGGTCGTATCCGTTGACAAGCACAAGCACCACAACCGACGTCTTCGGACTGCTCTTTTAAGATACTCACATGATTCAGCTTTACTCAAACGTTAAGCAAATATACTATGTTCAGCTTGCGTCGTCTCCAATTTCCAGCAGAAGCACCACCTCCGATCGACTTCGGACTTGCACATGAGGTAGCTACCTACCAGCTACCTACGAGCTTGAACCAACAGGGAAAGCAAAACAAGTGCCGGGGTGTTTCTGTCTACGAACCGGTGGCTTTCGAGCAGCGGCTTTCCCCCGCCATGGTGTTGGGCGACGTCCGCTGCACCCATCCGAAGCAGGCCAGCTCGTCCGCAGCTGCTTGGGCCGCCTGTTTGATCGACAGGGCTCAAAGTTGGTCGACACAATGAATCACCTCCAACGGGCGTGCAAGGACCGGTCTTTTCCTCCATTGGAGTCCTTGTTGTGAGCCATATTCACGAATCCCATCGCCTCCCACAGTTGATCGACAGAGTTACCGGTGGAAGTTGGTCGGCATGTGGTGAGCCATATACACTAATCGAATAGCCTCCCACAGGAGGGGAAGGACGGGGGTTTGACTCCATAGGTGTCCTTGCGCTCAGCCCAATATTTCGGTTAAGGCAGTAATCGCAGAACTCCGTCTCCGGCGTGTTGGGCTTACCGGTAGATTCGGGTCTACGGGCCAGAGGCCATAACTGGTTCAGCAGCGTATTGACAACAAAAACACGAACGACAACGTCTGACCTTGGCACAAATCACGACACATGATTCAGCACTCCGCCGTATATAGCTCAGAACCGGCATGTGCTTTTGTACGGTACACCGGAGAGACGAAACCCTCGAAAAGACTCGTACGATTTAGCATGACCAACTGCAAGAGAGTCGTCTTGGTTTTTTACAGTACCTTCGAAACACAAAATGCGAACCTACTCCATGGGCAGTGTAGCTAGGTGGCAACTTCGCTTTGAACAACCTGTACCATATGTCCATCAGAATTCAGTCTTACATTGCTCTGAAAACAAGCTAACTGCACAATTCTCGACCAGATTTCAGTCTCACTTTGCTCTGGAAATGAACAAACTGGAAATGAACAAACTGCACAAATATGTCGACCAGATTTCAGTCTCACTTTGCTCTGAAAATGAACGCGGATAGATGCAAAGGGGTGTGGAATAGGATTTCCATATATGGGAATCTTTACCGGCGTTACTGGACGGGGCTTTGAGGACTGCCGCCGCGCGTTGTATGGTGGGGACGAAGCAGCAGCGATGGCACTTAGGTGGAGATCGGCCCTGCGCTCGATGCATCTCCGAAGACAATATATTGACATGGCATGCACTGCCAGAATACTGCCGATTGTTGAGTTTGGTGGAAAAACAAGCAAGACGTGATCGATCGATCAACAACTAACCTCAGCGTATGCATCGAATCGGCAGCCTTGGTCAACCGTTGCCTCGTATCGGAAGCCATGATATCGATCCTGGCGGGGTTTGGTCGAAAGACGCGCATGCAGCCAATGTAGCAGCGGGGTAGGGTAAGGTTCGCGTGGGCATGTATGGGTGTATGGGGGGAGCTATGGAAGGCAGGGGACAGATATGGGAACAACGGGAAGGCAGAGAGAAAGACAGACAGAGAGATAGATATATAGAGAGAGCGAGAGCGAGCGAGAGAGAGAGACCGAGAAAGAGAGACAGAGAGGCAGAGAGAGACAGAAATCAGAGAGACAGCACCGAGCGACAGACACACAGAGAGAAACAGCCACAATATCGAGAAAAGGCGGCAGATGGAAGAGGGTGACAGGGAGATAGATCTGCAGCAGCACGTAAAGGGTTGGAATCACGCTACACTTTTACCATCACCCCTACAATGCATCGTACAACTATCACGACAGAGCTATGAAAACGTGAAAAAAGAACAACCTGATCATAAATTTTGACTGATTTCGACACCCACCGGAAGACCAATGAGCGGTCACACACGACATTCATAGGACCAGTTGGGACGTACGTTTCGGCAAGAGATAACCAATCCTCCAATTGTTCCACAGAGCAGCGGCTAGGACGTACTTCGAAGTTAACAGGTCCGATTCGCATCAACCATGCGAGCGACATCGGGAAGCAGCGAGAGAAAGTCAACGTTGCAGCCCAGAACTCCGCTAAAATATCTCCTTGCCTTCAATACGTGTCTTTACCAGCGTATCACGCAGCCTATAGCCTCCACCCACCTTCTCTAAAATCAATACAAAAACAGGCGACTACAGCGGGTGGCATAACAAGTTCTCTGCGTTGTATATTGTCCATGTTGGATGGGAAATCAGCAGAGGACATCATGGAGAAGCGATCGGCGCGTTGGGACGCCCAGATCTGTCGCTGGGGTCGTGCTGTTGAAGGGTGCAGCCAGATGCGGCCCGAAATGTCCGCAAAATCTTTGACCATACCATTTCACCATCCACTGCTGCTGTACGCGCTGTCACAGACCCAATCCTTCGAACCCATTTAGGGACCCAGATTTGTCAACCTTTCGGGGGTGCAGCTGCAGCCCTTGTCGGCACGGCCCCGGCAACAACAGGCTCTGAGCTTGCCAACGCGCAGGGGGTCGCTGCTCTAGTCTATGTTGTACCGGGGTTTCCCGTCGAACATGAACACTTTTTTCGACTCGTTGGGCTCCTCACAAGATGGGTTTAGACCAGAAACTGATTGCCGCGGTTGCCACCACCGCCATCACCTACGTGGTTAAGAGCTGCTACTGCAATAGAATATAGGTAGCGCAATACGTGCGCAACAATAGCATAGGTGTCGATTGGATACGGCGTGGGGGACTCGGTTTAGTGAGCCCCTGCTGTTTCACGACATGCCCCGTTTAGCGACCACCAAATGACGGGGCACCGCCTCACCCCGGCAGTACTACTGCCAAATAGTTGTTAGTTCGGTTTAGCGACTTGCCCTGAACAGCGGACACGTTTCGTCGTGACACCCTTGGTGACACTATGTACGGGTCGCCAAACCGGGCCCACCACTACTGCTGCGCTGCTGTACAAAAGTATTGTACTCCGAAAAGATGGGTGTGACGGAAATGCTGCTACTGCTGTACAACACCGACCGATTACGGTTGTTGCTCTCGCGAGATTTCGTACACAACAACACCCGAGTGCGTGTTTAAATGTTAAGAGATGCGTGCGGATATTCTCTGTTGCTCGCAGCATCCATCCGCGGGGTGAGAGCAATCGTCGCGCAGCAGCGTTCGGTACGAACATAGACTATAACTATATCCAGCGGTGGCATACAAGTAGTGAATCCTTTTGTACATGCAATACAACACCACTCCCTACTAACTATCTTGACGTTGCGCTAGACGCGACAGAATTACCTGGATCTCACATTGCCAGGATTATTTCTAGTTATTGCCCACCCCTGGTCAAGAGCAGTGGCAAAACAGGTTAGTGCCAAGCAAGGCGTATCCAACATCCAACCTACGTACATGTACGACGGGTGGAAGTTTGAGGGTGTGTTGCGAAAGCACAGCGAAACTAACCTGCATTCTCCAGCCCTTAGGGATGTTGAAATCGTCCGCAAGTTCCGCCGACACCACCGGAACCAGCGCCAACAACAGCAGGGCATTCGCTAGCCAGGACATCTTCACCCTGCAGCTCTCGTTTCCTCTCTCCTTGCACAAGTGAAGCAAGAGACACGACCCCGCGACCTGCCGACGCTGTTGCACTGCTCTGCAACCGCACCCGCACCTGCTTCGTGGGGGCACGACGAATGGATATCGACACATATCCAGTGGGTCTTATATGTACGGTTTGCGTACCCCCTATTTTGAAGCCTGTTGGTTCCTCGCACACACAAAGACCGCATTACACACAGAGGCCGTTCCAACCGCAGAAGGATAAAACATGAGCGATGGCAGAGCTGAAGAGGTGCAGAAGGCGCAGCTTGCGGAGCAAGCAGAGCGGTGAGCAGCAATCCGTCTCTTGCCCCCGAACTAACTGCACCGCTCATCCTCATGCATTGCACGCGAGAGGGGTTTATGACCTAAATTCGACTCTTGGACCGTTTAAAATGTTCTGATGTTCTCAAGTGGGTTGTGCAATACGGGTGCCAGGATTGTGCCTCCCAAGCAGAGAGGAGCGCAGGGGCGCCAGCGTGCTCATCACCGCACGATGGCGGGCTTTCCGCTGCTGTTTTTGAGTGCCCGCGCCAGCGCACCCCCTTCGCAGCCGGTACATCTACAGTGCTCAAAAGAGTTGTATACATCTTGTGCGCAAGTCTATTGGAGAATCAAGATGGGTAGTCTTTCTGTGTTTGTATTTGATGTTTCGTAAGATCTTGAGCAGCAGTTATGAAATCCAGCAGCAGCGTGCAACCCCTGATCCTCTCCACCCTCATTACCCTGTCCGAGCGGGCCCCCGGTCTGCGCAATGGGCACTCGAGCCCAATCGTCAGGCGATTGGCTTGGTAGCGTTCTCCCAAGTTTACACTACACACCCATAAAGTGCAACCAAGTCCCCCCCAAACCTGTAACCGCCATTTTTTGTGCCCTGTTTTTCCAACGGTACTATTTCGCGAGGTCCACCCCTCACGCCACGAACACTACTACTATAACCGCTGCTGCTGTCACGTCAATCCAAGAAGCACGGACGCGTTTCCGCTGTTCGTCACCGCCCCGTGTGTGCGCGTGCGGCTGGTAGACGAAGTCCTTCGGAGCTTCCCGTTTCGAACACATGATGACCACAGCAGCGGCAGCAGCAGCAGCAGCCGCAGCAGTTGCACACCCTTGACGGATGCCGCCTGTAGCCTGCAGCCTGTAGCCAGAGACGCGAAGGAAGTCGTCTTGCCTAAAACACAGAGAGTTACCCTCCTTTGCTTGCTGGTGTCGCCTAAATACAGAGATGTTGCAGCGCTCTCCGCAGTGTTCTTCTGCCTGTACACAGAAGTTACTGCATCGACGAGGTGCTGCAGTAGAAGTGCTGCGTTTGTTTTTGAATTCGGTTCTCACTTTCTCACGTCGTCTCGACACGGCGGTATGTACATGTCTTGCGTTTCGTCCAGTCTTTGGGTTGTGTATATCAGAATATACCACAGCAGACACTCAACATGAGCCCAGCCCCGTATCATTTCCTCTTCACTGCTACACCACTTAAAGACTTCATTACGTCCCTTCCACCTGGCGTAATACTGTCGTGGCTCCGATATAGAAGAGGGTCCAGGGCCTTATGAGACTGCTGTATATCGAACGGTCTCTCAGCTGTTGTACAAATGCATACATATATCCACTTCGGTACTTTTTGTAAGCAAAGATCTTTTGCCCTGGGCTCTTAAAAGATTGCGTTCGTTCACGATAAAAGAAAAAAATTGATGAAGGGAATTCCGCTGAAAACGTGTCCCATTTATATTGTGATTCAAGTGCAACTGCTGTCATGCATACATACTGTACCGCCGTTCACGGCCGTTGTTGCGCGCATGCGCCTTTCTCAAAGAAAAATTTACGTACATGATGCAAGTGACTCTTCTTTCACCCACCGGTGTACAGCAGTACTACTGCGTACGAGACCCGACTAACGAGAATCCTGGTACACTTTTGTCCCCACGGCTAATCAGAGGAGATGCCGACCAAAACAAGCAAGTTGTGGAACGAAGCCTGTCCCTCGCAATTTTTTTCGGGCCGACGACCCCCCCAAAACCGTGGGCATACTAGTACATGGCGCATTGTTTGGTCATCTGGAAAAGGGGTTGCGATCGCCGACCAAATTTCGCGTTTTGTCTTTTGTGTGAGAGCCACGAAGGGTCTCTACTGTAGGACATTCCAAAGCTTACCCTGTATCGCTGATCTCGAGGGTGCGGGAGGAAGGGCCCCTAGAAGGAAAAGTGCAAAAGGAAGGACCAGCATATTTGTCGCCCTGGCTCAAATACGCAGTGCTAGTTGTCTACGTCACAGGCGTTTATGATGAACCAACGGGAAGGGCGTCAGCTTGCTCTGCTATGCTATGCACGTCATTGTTTAATATGTGCAGGCAGCTACATCGAAAGCCGCTTTGACTGTGCTGCTTGCTGTTGTTGTTGTTGCTATCATCCAATTTATTCTGGACGTCGATGTCGGCGAGACTTTGGCGTTATCAGTTCCACCCTGAGGTTGACGCACGACCTTCGATGAGATATGCCAACAAGTGGATGACGGCACAGACATTAGGCCGAGGATACAACACCCTTCCTTTCCCAGCGACACGGTAGCAAGCACTATGAAGTAGTGCGCAAGAGCCATAGACCGCGAACAAACGCTACGGGAACTCAGCGTAAGACCCCACCCACCCAATAATAATCCATTCTGCCGGGACCCCCCCCCCCCACGTTGGTTAGCCGGAAGGCCCTATCAACCCATGGCATGTCTGGATTGGCCAGCTAACGCAAAGCTGATGACACTATCAGCTTCTGCTTCATCCTTGTAAACCGTAGCCTGGGCCGGCGAAAACCGGGCATACCTCTCCGTCCCGACATTGTAGGGGTGCGAGGTCTATGGTCTAACGACTACGGCATGCGTTTACATGAGTACACACATACAGCCACACAAACTCACAGGTTTCTGCTGTTGTTGCTCTTTACGGTGTTTGTCTTTTCTCCTGAGGTAGCATAGCCTCCCCGATGACGCCCCCTCATGGGGTCCCAGGCTTATACGAGCATCTTGTGTTTTGAACCGAACTGAGACTGACGTCTTTACATTGGTCACCGGTTGGCGCGGTCGATGCTAATATTATAGACACACACACACACACCCGACCACAGGTTCGACGAGATGGTCGAGAACATGAAGGCGGTGGCGGTGCGACCGGAGGAGCTCTCCATGGAGGAGCGCAACCTCTTGTCCGTGGCCTACAAGAACGTCATCGGTTCGCGCAGGGCGAGCTGGCGCGTGATCAGCTCCATCGAGCAGAAGGGAGAGGTACGAATCGAAAGAGCCGTTGTTGTTGCTGTGGGTGCTGAGATCCGTTGAACGGCGGAAGAGGTTGGAGAGGGAAAGGAAGTAGTAGTGATGGGCTACATCGAGCACAAGGGAGAGAAGTGAATGTATTGAGCGAAGCTGAAGTGCCGTTGATCGTTGTTGTTGTTGTTGTTGTTGTTTGCTGGTGCTGAGGTCTGCTGGAAGAGGAAAGCGAGAGGAAATAGGGGGGGCGGGGACCGGAGGGGCTTCCTGCAGTTGTTCCTGCTGTGGAGTTCGTTGTTTGCCGTTCTCTTTCCGTGTGTGTAACTACTGTTCCCTGCGTGTTACCCTTGCTTCAGGCTCGACGAGAATGTAGCGTTCCACACGGAACCTTCCGAACTCCTCCATGTACACTCTACATGTAGGCTGTTGTACGCTGTGCCCTGCGGTCAAGTTGGTCGTTGCATTCGAAAACGACACACTAACATAGCTGCTTGATCGAGCAGCCTGGGCAGACACAATGCGGAGCGATGACGAGAGCTTCAATCCCCCCCCCGGTAGATGCGCTTTTGAAAACAGTTCCTCGATCTCGGTTGTGTCGCACCGAAGCTTCTTGAAGTTCTGCACAGCTCCGCACTCGTGCCCGGCAAGGCAAGGCAACAAGAACGCCTCCGGAGGAGTCCGCTCCTGGACGTGTACACCCGATATACTGCTGTAGCTGCCTCCGCCGCTTGAGCGCTCGAAACGTTTATGCATAAAAAAACAGCTCACAGCTGCCCGGTCAAGCTCAACTCTCAAGACTTGTGGACAAGAGTCATGTTTCCCCCGTTGGCCCCCTAGGGCAGCCTTCCCCCCCCCCCCCCCGGTGTGTGGGGGCGGGCTAGACCCCTGAGCCCTCACAGAGGGGGGTAGAAGGGAAGACAAGAGAGGGGTATATTATGTCCAGAAGTCAACAGAGGCCCCCCGGATGGGGCAAGGGGGTACCATCAACTTCTACAACTACCATGTCCGAGCCCCCAGCAGAGCATTTTCCATGAGTAGACAGGGCTCTGCTGAGTGGACATGGTTGTTGGTCTGGGGACTCGGACGTAGTAGTTGTAGGTGTTGATGGTACTGTATCTCCTTGTTGTGCCATCGGGGTAGGCTCTGCTGACTTCTGGAAATAATACTCCTCTCCTGTGGTCGCTTCTACCCCTCCCTATGGGGGCTCAGGGGCCTGCCTTCCCCCTCACACTCGGGGGAGGCTGCCCCACAGGGTGAACGAAGGGCAAATGGCTCTCTTGTCCATGAATATCGATTGACGATACAACGCCCACGGCAGATACGCCTAGAGCCGAGTTTCCCTTCTGGGGGTAGCTGCAGTACTGTTGTTGATATATGATTGCGCTGATTGGCCGTGCTCATCTTGTTGGTGTTTTGTGTGGGCAGACCGACAAGTTCAAGCTTTTCGGCGAGTATATATCGTGCTGATTGGCCGTGTTGTCTCGTTGTGTTTTGTGGGCAGCTCAAGCTTATCGGCGAGAATTTTATCGCGCTGATTGACCGTGTTCATGTTGCTGTGTTTTGTGTGGGCAGGCCGACAAGTTCAAGCTTTTCGGCGAGTATATATCGCGCTGATTGGCCGTGCTCATCTTGTTGGTGTTTTTGTGTGGGCAGGCGGACAAGCTCAAGCTTATCGGCGAGTACAAGGCTAAGATCGAGAAGGAGCTGGAGACGATCTGCGGTGACATTCTCGCCATTATTGACGATAACCTCCTCCCAAACAGCCAGACCAATGAGCCCAAGGTATGCCTTGTAGACACTCGAGAGGAGTTTTTTGTTGATTGTTAATAATGGTAGATGGTGTTGCCTGTGCTGTCGTTGTGGTGGCGTCTTGGCATTTAATGGCCGCCCTTACCTATTAGGCGTTCAGCGGTGACATCTTCTCCTCTTCGGTAGGATTTGGTTTCGAGCAGCATAGTCTTTTGTCTCGCTTTAAACCTCGAGCATTTTCAGTGGTCAGTCGGTTCGCGCGGTCAACGCCAATCAAAGAAACACATCAATACCTGTACTCTCGTTCCCCAAAATCTCACGCACCAGGGCACCCCCCCCTCC